TTTTATAACCCGGATGAAATATCGATAAGGGTCTTAGTGTTGGATACCGGAGAATCCTGAGAAAACCAACTAAGTCAGACAGATAATCCTGATAAAACCAACTAAGTCAGACAGATAACCGAATACAGTCACGTCCGAACGGGGAATATACAGTCACGTCTGAACGGGAAATATACTGTCACGTCCGAACGGGGACACATGCCACATGCCACATGCCAGCTTGGTGAAAGGCGAGTACGGTTTCCACTGTTCTACCAGATCACCATCAGTAGTAGCTGATCGAAGGGCTTAGTTTTACGTATTTGCCTCTACAAGTGTTTTTCATCTTTTTATTACATCAACAATATTTAAAACTAACTCACATTATTCAAAGTCATTTTACACTGGGATGAGAATTCCTAGTTTAACGTTCAGCATTTAGAATTGCAACAACTGGTTCACCCGTTGTCAGTATAATGAGAGGGGCGGAATGCTGGGCCCGGTGCCTTCGGCATGATATTTAAGTGAGGTAGCACTATAAAGTCGGCATCAGATCTGCGCTATCAAAAGGAGGCAAAAATACCAACATACTCTGTCTTCAGCACACATACACGCCGCACACGGAGTCACGTCTTTAAATGACATAAGCTGGTGATAGGACGTTCAACAAAATAAAACCAAACCATCACAAGCGTGCCTCATTTTAATTGTTGTAGTATATAAACAAACGACAACATATATCTGTGACGTCCGAGATATTGGCCGTCTGCACAATTATGAGTCAAGCACCCGACTAATTCGGAACACACTTTGTTGTTCCGAATGACATTGGATAAAGCATTGGGTTCTGCGAATGAATTGGGCCAACCACAAGATCAGATTCTCACTGGGGGTATGATCATGTATACTACCTAACAATTGGTGGTAAGAGCTCTTACCCAAGACACATGGCAGAAAACACACATTACGCCATTCAAAATAATTGACACTATTCGATGATGATGTATTTCTTTCGTTCAATTTTATACATTTATACATATTTTGAGTAAAACTTACTGTATATAATAGGATTCGTTTCTTAACGATTTATTTACACCTTTCACCGCCATTTTCATTAGAAAGTTGACATCCGACCTTTGACAAAATTTTATTGAAAATTCATTCGAATATTTCTATAACATCCAGAGAATAGTTGTGCTTCCTCTTCAGTCCCTATCACATGACTGATATCCTTATATCATTTAAATGAATTACTAGCATACTCAATGTTTCTGTCTTAAAAATTCAGGAGAGGTTAATAACACGTGAACTTTTTATGACCGGAACACAATGAATGGAGCTCACTGGTACGATCTGACGTATTCAGTCTTGTGTCGTCTGCGTGCTACGAGGCAATATATTTTGTAAGAGTAATGAGTCGGAATGCCACTAGACGGCGCTCGGTGGCACTGGCGGGAAACACTCGGACATCGTACAACTACCGTTCTATTATCCCCTTGTGTTATATTTTGTCTTGCTACATTTACCATTATGACCCTGATAAATGAGATATAACGATAACACCGTTTTGTGATGGCTTAGTTAATTGTCCGGTTCATCCCTTGGGAGTTTACCTTCATTCTCCCGGTCAGCTAAGGATAATGGCGTTGTATGAAGACTTTTCCCTGTCTACTAACAGCAGCACAAAAAAGGATAGGATTAGTTTGCATCCAAGCATAAAAAAAATGATGTGAAAGATATATATAGAAAGCGCTAATCAATATCTCCATCAGAGGATTCAAATTGAGAAAGATAGGTGGCAGTAGCAACATCCGGTTCCTACAAAATCATTCATAAACAGCAAACATAAACACTCCCCACCTTGCCTTTACATGCATGCATATATCGAAATATAGCCTTGATGAATAACATCAGTGACAAAATTTGCGATTTATGTTACCTTTAAATTGCTTTATGTTTCTTCTCTCTCGGCCAAATATTTCTACATTGTAAATAACATTTTGAAACATCATTTTGCGTTTCTCAAGAAACAAGTTTTTCATATCGTGATGGTCGAGTATGGCTTATATGCTTTTCGTGAGCTATTTCTCAAGTAAATATATTTGCTCAAATTCCATGGTTATACTTTATAGTTCACTCACTCACATTGACAATCATGTCTACGTTGGTATATGATGCTTTCCATTGACTCTGCAAAATATTTGATAAATCGATATGAGTTGATTGAAAAGCTGTTAGTGAAAATAGAAACCTGGCTACAGTGAGTAAATTGTCAATGCATGCGACCACAATACTGGCGGCAATGTAATTGTTCATTTATATAACATTTACGTCAGTTATACAGTACAGTTTTTGAGTGTACAATAGTAAAACTGATTTTTAAAAAGTAAGGTTATCAGTTAAACAGTACGATTACATAAATGTTTTATAAATCAATTGTAGTTATCAGAGTAATTCTGCAGCAACTTAATGTTAGATATCTAATAAGCTTTTGCAGATCCCTGTCGAATCCACCGTTTTGGTCCTATAAGCTTGTCACTATGGGACATATTTTTTTTCCATTTGTTCTTGTTCTTGCATGTTCTTGTTTGCTATACATTGTTCTTTCATTTGTAAACTGTAAAACCAGCGTCCGTGAAGCGCAAGTTAAATACAAGCGCCATGGCATTGGTAATAGTTAGATACGTTTATGCAAGGTACTTATCATTAAATGCTCTATATGAGTTTAACACAAGCAAACAAGATCGTCTTGGATTCACTAGTAAACACAATGAGGTTTGATATTATAAGCGAATGTGTTAATGGTCGTTTATACTTGCTACACGTTGAATTCTGGATTCTATACTAACAGCTACATTGATAAAAACAATCCATGTATCGTTGTGGATAACAGAGAATATGTTCTATCATACATTTAATTTTACAGCATGGTCAACCACAGAACACACATGGGGATATGTATGAAAATTCTGACAGATTAACCTGATACACCATGGGGAATATTAACCAATGTACAAGTCCCTAGGCACAACATGCCAATACCATGACAATTTCCCATAACCGCACGATTAAATTGAAGACCACAAACTTGTCAACAACATGGTATCAAAACGTTATTCCATATTTCCTCTATCATGACGTGCATCATCAGATTAAATTCAATTTATACATGCTCAAAAACTTACTAAATCGACGAAATCTCCAGGGAAATCACATTTTGCTTTTGATGGGTTTTAAATTGTATCAATTTCGACTTGATAATAAGAATTTTGTCACTATTCATAACAGAGTTTTCTGTTTTCATTGTTCTTGTCTACAGATCATCGGGTTTTTTCAGGAATTGCAATTAGGTTTTGTACACTGGTAGCAAAAAATATCAACACTTAATACCGAGTTACGAGCCATTAGGAATTGTGGAGAATGTACCTTGCTTAATTATCTGGGCTGAAATGTGACTGCATTCACGCACTAACACTTTACAATATTTTTAATCAAAATGGTTTTATAAGTTATAAAATTCCACAGGGTAGTAATCTGTCACTTGCATATGCTAGTAAATCTATATATAGGCTTTGATTATTATCCTTTTTAAGTTTTTAACAGACAGCTGAGATAGTAGTGGGAAAAAAGCCACATTTTCGGAGCGTTGAAATTCACTTTTCGACGAAATGCCCTCTACAGCCGGCTTGAGTTTTTGCTTGCTTTAAAAATATTTTTCAATGACATTGTAAGATGATTGTTCAACACTATGGGAAGCGTTGTGCAAGTTCTCTCATTAAAAATTCTTTCTGATATTTTTTCCTAAACATACATAAGCATTGTTCGGCATTGATTATTGATTATTTTAAATAAATATAGTACATACCCTCTGTAGAAGAGTAATACATTATGAAGATTATCAAAGAATGACTAAGGTGAATTGCGCTTTAAATTAGTTGAACACATAGCACGTTGTTTTGGCCAATAATTACAAACCTCAAAAACACGGTAGCCAAAGCAATCGCTCTACAAAAGGTCAACAGATGAATCATATTATGTTTGTAAATCTCTTTGAAAAACCATCAAATGATTTAACATGTGTAAATGTCCAACGCAACCATTCAAAATGGGAGAAATAAGAGAAGTAATTTGATCATTAATCAACTGCACCAATTATATGGTTTTATGTTATGACACTGCAAATAACTTTGTCCGCGGAGACCTGGTATTCGTCTGTAAAAACGATCTTTCAGGCCTGTACCGCATTTTTATGTCGTTAATACCAATACACTAATTTGCCTGTTAATTCCTTGAAGTGTGTTGAATTTTGTGCATGAATCTATCCTGGTTCTGAACAAACCACAAATTACAAAGCAGTATTTCTCTCCCTGTGTCCCTTATTCGATTATTTTCAGATACATAACATTTTAAACATTAATACGCCAGATAAATGATGAAGGTCCACTGAGAGATCCAAAATAAATCACCCTACCTCCTTTATCTATTGGTTGATATAGCATACAAAAACACACAAAAAAGGTGTTTGCAATTTGTCTTTAAAGCATTTCTAATTTTTATGTTTTCCTAGAACGAATATCTGACGAAGTTTTATCTCAAGTGCCGAAAAAAATAATGTGAGTATCAAGGAAGTGCTATGCCGAATCCGATGGTAAGTCCTAAGCGTTATTTCGTGTTTACAATTTGTGTTGGAAAGAGCAAACAAAAACATAATCGCATTCCGGATACCGGACGTCTAAACTTTAGAAAACCCTGTGTTTAAATCAAGCTACCGAATGTTAACATGTATCGTCTTAACACATGTGTTAGGCTGTAATATCCAGTCCGCTACTTTGTACCATTCCGTAATATTACCCACTGGATTGCTATTCTGTAATATGGACCAACCGGAAGTATAATTAAAACCATGCACATGGAACAAGATGGTGTTTGTTGAGTCTGAACGTTAAGCCGTAGTTAATGATGGCATTAGGCATGCCATCAACACATAAACACTACATTTTGGCGACGAGGACGGGATCAGAATGACATCCCTACCAATATTTCCTTCGTTCGATACCGAATGCGACAAAAGTAACGCTGGCCCAAGATGGGATCGGTGGATAGGGCGTTTAGAGAATCTGCTCGTGGCCCTGGACATTACGGACGAGGATGAAAATGATAGAAAAAGAGCACTCCTGCTTCACTATGCAGGTGAACGTGTGTATGACATATATGAGGCAGAAAAAGGAGAAACCGAGCCGTCATATGGAGCCACCAAACAGGTGCTCACGACATACTTCAAACCCAAGAAAAATCAACAAATGGAATTATACACCTTCAGAAGCTATAAACAGTCAGAATCGCAAACTCTTGACGAGTATGTCACCGAATTACGACGACTAGCGAAGGATTGTGGATTTGCAGACACGAATAAGGAGATTCTGTCACAGGTCATCCAGCACTGTAAGTCCAACAGACTCCGGAGAAGGGCACTCCGCGAGCCTGACAAAGACTTAAATGGAATTCTAACACTCGGTAGAACACTAGAGTTATCCGATGTCCAAGCTACAGCAATGGAACGGGACCAAAGTGCGAGTGTTAACGCGGTTGGTCGTGCACAGTCCGAACACAAACCGTTTAAAAGAAAACAACACAGATCGTCCAACTTCAAGCGTGGTACACCCAAACAAGGTGAGTCCGATAAAAAGTGTATGAAATGTGGAGGATCATACCCTCACCATGGAGACTGTCCCGCTAAAGGCCAGACTTGTCATTCATGTGGTAAAAGTAACCACTATATGAAAATGTGTCGATCCCGTGTCAACAAGCCTACTCACAAGGGCCAGAATCGAAATGTGAAAGCTGTTCAACAGGACACTGGCCATGGTCAATCGGTTAGTTATGATGCCCGATACCAAGATGGCGAGACGGACGACGATGACCGTTACTGTTATGGAATAAAGGAGACTTTGACAAATTCCGAACAGGTGAGATTTGTAAACGAGGCTCCCAACTTCACTCTAAAAGTGAACAACAGACCACTGAGAGTATTGTTAGACAGCGGTTCCTCAGTCAATATACTTGACGAAACAGCATACGAGTGTATGGGTAGGCCGCCTATCACCCGTGCTAGTAACAGGCTGATACCGTACGGTGGTGGTAAACCGTTATCAGTCCTGGGAAAGTGTGATCTTGGTGTAGAAACGAACAAACAGTTTGACACTTTGACATTCTATGTTGTGAAGGGACATAGGTACGGATCCATCCTAGGGTATCCATCAGCCCGTAATCTGTCACTGATCCATGTTGTGAGTGAAATCGCAGAGGATG